AGTATAACTGCAATAAGCATTTTATACTTTTATGCCAACCCCGTACGAAGGACGGGTACTCTGCTTGTAATAATAATAAGAAGAATAACAATAATAAAAATAATAAGTAACAAGTGTAAAAACTGCAACACAGTACACAAATAAGGTAATAACTTGAGAAAGTAGTTATTACAGGAAAATATGCCACTACAGTACTTCGTTCTTGTAAATTAGTAGGGGTAATTCGTATTATATATTTTTAAGCCTACTTTATAAACTTTGTAAACTTTCAAAGCTACCTGTGCTTGAATGAATGGGCTAGTAATAAAAAAACTTCAAAACCTCATCGTGAGAATAAACCCTGTTAATAAAGATATGTACTATTATTTTTGTAATGTTGATTTGTGTATTAAGATTCGTTAGAAGTTCCAAGGTAAGTTTTAAGTTTCAATTAAGCTCTCTACAAGCCAGAGAAATTCATTGATTATGGTTCTTAAACATTTTACAGCCACAAAATATAACGCGACATAAAGTGTAAAGATCATTTAAATTACAACTACCTGTAGGAACCTGTCTAGCATAAACTGGACTATCGCTTACTTTACACCATACAATGTTGCTAGTTTAACTGTGTTGTGTGTTAAACTATAGAATATCCTCAGTGTTATAGCACGGAAGCATTTCTCACTATGTGTCGTAACGCCTGGTGGGTATTAACAAAGCAATTAACTTACTTGGTAATTTATCTAGAAAAAGTGGTAAAAGTCTGCTTCGTCGTCGCTTTCTTTGAAAATAAAATTCCAACGTTGCGTCAGTAGGAGCATAGACTAAGGAGAATAAAAATGTACTCCTCCTCTTTTATTCTCCTTAGTCAATGGTGGAAGGTAGCAATGTTGTGGGTTAGCGTCTCACGGTGGACGGTGCCACTACTTATATAGGCCTACTCTGTACTGAATACTGATTCAGTACAGTACAAGCTCGAACTATTACTGGTTCTCTCGTTGCTTTGTACAAGCAGAGGCCTAAGAAAACAGACATAGTCAATGGTTAAAATAGGGTGATGACTGGAATACTGGTTGTCATTAATACCAGGATAGTAATTTATTTTATTGCACTACTTTTCCCATCATTTATGTGCAATAATAATTGTAGTATACTATTAAATTCCAAAATTGTCTATCTATTTATAATACATATATCATCATTAACGTTTTCTACAGCTATTTTAAACACATAGTTCACCATTATATTTATAATGTAATCTGTAACTATCAAAAGTTTTCCTATCCAATCATCATTGCGTTGTATCTACGTGTAATTAATTGTTATCATATTCCATGTATTTTTCATCCATTTTATTACTTTCACAATGTTATTCAATTTAGAGTCGAAATCGTAGAAAGCTACGTATTAATGTTTTACCTTTTTAAAGTTGTGTACGTGTTATAACTGTATAGATGTCTTTGGTTATAGTGCTTACCTTTTGAAAGGTTCTGGTTTGGTCCTAAATGAAACCAACTCTTTATCAATAAATGACACTGTATAACAAAAAGATTTGTAACAATGCTAGGTTTTGTACGGTTCCCTTACAAAAATTAATAAGTGAAAAGAAAAAATGTGATGCTGTATTATTATTCACAGCAACACTATCTAATTTACTCAATTATCGATTGGTGTGGTAAAATTTAAAATTTTGATCTTAAATTCTTAAGAAAAATTTTTGACCTCACAATATTTGGATCAATATTAAAACTCAATTCCTGTTTGAAAGATTCAGAATTCATTACTTTTTAGAAGCGTTAACAAGTGTTGAAAACTAAATTAGTTAAAATTAACACATTTGAATAGACAACTACAGTCCTATGTCACAGCTCTCAGTACGTTAATTTTCCATTACAATATATTATTTAATATTTAATTATTATGAAAAGGAAAATCATCTCACAAGAAAATAATTCCCTTTTAACTTTAAGAAAGTTTTAAGTACTTTTCGACAGTTCAAACCTCCCTTTGGGCCAAAAGTGATCATTGGGCTTAAAAGGGTTACAAGCCAAATTACATTAATTATAAAGACTTAAATTAACTTGAAAATCACTGAAATATTTTTGCATTCCTTTAAATAGCGTTTTTCCTTCATTAAATAAATAGAAAAAAATCTAATTTAAGTTGCAGGAGTTCAAAAGGGGATTTGTAGAGAACAATTAATTACGATGAATAATTATTAAAATGAAAGTTTAAGTATTTTTAATCAACGAAATACATCAACCTAACACAACCTACACAACCTATTATATCAGTAGATGTGCCAAGAAAATCTTCATACAATGGACCAGCACGGGCATAAACGGTGCTTTCCTGTTAAAGGGAACATTCATTACTATCGATGATTTTTTTTTCGATATATCGATATTAACAAATTGAAACATATCAGCTGACAACTACGATAAATATTGTTCAGTATATGAAACTGTAAAAAAAATAACCTAACATAACTAACCAAACTTGCTTTAAAATTTAAAAATTCCGTGTTTAACTTGCCTTTTCTATTATCAAACCCAAACGGAAGTTTTAAATTATACAGCAAGTTTGGTTGGTTATGTTAGGTTAGCTTAGAACAGTTTCATTTCTTAATCCATATAGACTAGTTTAGCCTAAACAAGATCAGTTAGTTGTGGTTGTCAATTTGTAATAGATCTGATCGGAAAACAGAAATATCGATATATCGAGAAAAAAATCATCGATGATAATGAATGTTCCCTTTAACAGGAAAGTACCGCATAAACTACCACCTGACGCTTGATTTTCACCAATTATTTATTTATCTTTTATCTGATGTATGTAACACTGGTAGAACTGTATTAGTTACTGTTTGTTCCTCAATCTATTTTATTATTGTGCAATTTCACACTGTATATTTTAATCTTACTCATACACTTCATACTTACTGCCATCTATAATTTTCCATTTATAAGCGTAAATATTTATTATTGTTACTATTTATTTGTTACTGTTCCCTATTTGTTTCTACTCATTTACTATTTATTTCTAGTTTATGTATTTTCACTGTGCCGTTTGTAAATAAAATAAATAGAGTTTTCTTCCTTTTTTTCAGTCCCATTTCTTATTCTATTGATTTCACTTAATTCACAATTTTAACTACACTAAATTGATTTAGGACTTAGAAGAAGGGTTTATTTAATTATAAGTCGCAGCTGATTGAAGTTACAAACCAATTCAGGGCAATACAATTTGTCGTTTACACAATCAGATTTTTTATTGGAATCTCTCTTTTAATCTTCCTCTTAATTTTGTAGGGTTGAGTCAATAAAATCATCTTTTATTATTTGTAATTTTCAATTAAAAAAAATATATCTACGAATAAATTGTGTAGTCGTTTCAATATTTAGTTTTTCTGCAAGGGCTGCTAAATATAACGTAGCCTATACAGTAAAACGCATATACGTATATTTTACAAATACATATAAAAAGCATGTTAGAAGTGAAATTACACACTGCCTTACAAATAAATATAACCATGGTTTTATCATCAATATGGAACTGAAGACTTTTAAAACATATTTTTGTTGGAAAAGTGCAAACATGTTTATTTATTTGTTGTTTTATGTATGCGTAAATAAATTTAAACAAAATTGAAAGGATGACATGCTAGCTGTTATGTACAGTCTGTAAAAAATACTATGGAAAAAGTGTACACCAACACATACTAGGATAGAAACATGTAAACATTCGTCAAAACGAGCTCTGTATGTTGCAACAGGATGAACATTATGTTAAATACTACCCCGCCGCAGCAAACCTGCCGTCTAAGCGAATTTCCATTTGGCTGAATTGATTTTCAATTGATCTATTTAAATAACATTAGGTTTAACGAGTACCTAGGTTTGCTGCTACAGGGAAACTAATAAAGTGTGTTTTTAGTAAAATATTGATAGCTTACTACAAAATAAATAAATTTGCCAAGTTTGATCAAAATATATCCATAAACAAGCAAACTACAACATTTTACAATATTCTCCATAAGAATAACATGGGAATTTTAAATTTACCATTTTTTTAGTTTTCTCCGTAACCAATAACCGTACAAAAACACTTTGATATACTGAATTGTTTGTTTTTTAAGCTCTTTAAGAAGGTTTAGAGAAAAATTGGGAAATTTTGTGTTTTGAGGGTCAAAAGTGAGAAAAACCAATTTTTACCCCATAAAACCCCCCATAAAACCCTGTTCCCATGGTCCGATCATGCTGGATCGCGAACTCATTCAAGTTTATCCCGCCTTACACCTTCAAACCAAATTTCATCAAAATCGGATAAAAATTACTCAAGTTATCGTGTTCACGGACACATATATATATATATATAAATCTATATATATATATACCTATATATATATACATATATAAAAATTTGAACGAATGGTGTTTTTGGCCTCTGGGGACATCAAAATGAAAAAGTAAATCGGTCCCGGGCCTAAGTCTTACCATGAGACCTACGGTAATAGCTACCGTAATAACCGTAATTTCCCTATAGGGAAATTCGCTAAAATCAAGAGGCGCCTCATATGTATCCCAAAATTATATACTCCAAGAATGGTACCCCCATTTTCTTTATAATCATATGTGATTTTCAAGGCGAGTAAAATATCACAAGCATAAATAACATGAATTGTGACTATTTTGAGTTTTTCAGCCATTAATAAGTCTAGAAAAATGTTGTAAAAAGTAATAGCAATGTCTTTAAATAGTTATTTATGAAGAATGGTGTGTCTGCTCGATCATTATCCATCTGTATTGTAAGTTATAAGAAGAACATTTAATAAATTGATGATAGTGTTATAGTTCAGCAAACTAACATCATTCTTCGTTTAGCATCATAGTTTTGCGGAGAGTTCAACTAATTTGAAGTCTTTCCTTAGCATAAAAATTTTGGAATATTTATTTTGACAAATAGTATAAGTAATTCCCTGTTTGCAGTAAGGACTTCAGGAAAGCAAACAAGACAAATCGAGGAGATCAATTTTATTGTACAACCTCATTTGGTACTATAATATTACAAATAACAAAAACTTCAACACGTACATGCAGCTCTAAACAAGATGGTCTTGATAAAATAATTCAAGCTTACGGACCTCACATATCCCAAGCCGAGATTGAAAACGGTTTCGAAAATATACGTTTAGCAACCGAAGATTATCCATCTATACAAGAATAATAAGTCTATAGTGCAAGATTGTGTAACCAGTGCTGACAAATAGTTATTGTCGGTTATCATAAATATTGTCTCTGCTAGGTTAAATAGATATGTAGTGGATAGGTATGCATACAAATGACACTTATAAGATTATATTCTCATGACTTTATAAAATTATTCAATTTACAAAAGGACCCTTCTTTCTGTGGATAGGTGATAGGAGTAAATAATTAAATAGTATAATATACAAATATGCTTCTGATTGTGTAAGTTATACCTCTTAAGCAGTCTCAGTTTTTCATGGATTACCAATATTCTTTAATCCATCTGCTTGGATTCATTATTGTCAAGGGTTTTAGTCGTATTTAGATATATCTATTACAATTTATTGTCACCTTAGATGATGAGTGTATAAAATATCTTGGTCACTAACGACCTACATAGTAAAGCAGTGACGTGTAAGGATTTTAAGGCAGGCAAGTACATTTTGGAAGACGGATAGTCTGAAGTACAGCTACTTGGTTTATTTAGCAAGATGATTGAAATAATGACTGTGATGAAAATAATTAATTATCGGCTATATCCAACAAATATTAACTCCCTTCCATGCACAATGCCAGAATAATAAAAACCTTTCTACTCCATGCACGTTTACAAGTAGAGATCCCAATACAGCTCAACTTAAATAAAGTGCTTTAATAATGTTATGATAAAAATGCAAAATACAAGACAAACGAACATACGAATCCCTTCTTCCCTTTCCCAAAATAACACAAACACCTTATAGAAAATAAAAACTTTACATATTATAGACTCAAAAGCGTTGATTGGCTGTGATAAACAAAAGAATTCAAATCTTTTCGGAATGTAATATTTCTGAGCTTATAACTTTGACAGATTTTAAAAATAATATGATTTACTAAGTAGTTTAGCAAAAATAAAAACTTCACTTTGAAATAGAGATGAGTTAACACATTTATTTAATGTTTCATCTGGTCAAAACATAAAACACTAAATAGTCTAGAGATAAGCCCAATGAAGGGTAACTCATCACGATTATTTATAGCCAACTCTTGTCATACATTTTTCAAAATTCATATTTCCAGTGATTCAATTTATTGTCAAAACTGTATAACATTTTCGGAAGATGGTTCAAAGTCTTGTTCAAACTTGCATCAACCGTAAGCTTATGGTAGACAATTGAACCTTTACAAATTGAAAGGTTTTGCAACAAAATTGCAACGGTGCAAATACAACATACGTGAAAAACATAGTGAAACTATCTAACATAGAAAAAAATTAATCTCAGGATAATTTGGGATAGGCTGTAGGGTTAATGTATCCAGTTGATGGGGTTTCTCCTGAGTAGTATATTGTCCAAAGCGGGTATTAGGAGGTATCGCTTTACAGGGTCCTCTACTTCCTCTTCGGCCTCATCCTCTGTCCAGTCTAGTGGCGGCGCCTCCCAGAGTTGGGGTTGTTGGACCGGGACCTCCCCACGTGCGGAAGACGCCCCCCAGGAATCTTCCCACCCCCCCTCACTGCTGAAACATACATAGTCTACAGAAAATGGAAGGGACAAGTGGAAGCAAAAGCTACAATAACGGTTTAAATAATGTGTGTAAACTATAGATTTTATATCTTTTGCTTGGATCTTATATTTTGTAGTAATATTTTTAGAATTAGGCTTTCTGTTGGGATAGATCGTACTCAAGGATAATATGTAGGTCTTGTCAGGAAGTTAAAATTACTAAAATTCGGATCAATAAGAGTGGTGAGCGTGATGTACAATGAACATACACAGAAGAAGACTTCCCCCACCACCGTCACTTTTTTGTACAGTCATCTCAACAATTAATTTCCTTTTGATTAATTTATTGCACTAGCTTACAGTGGTGCGATTCTCAGTTTTTTCCTTGCATGACATTCTATCTGACACAATCTTCACTATTTCTCGATACTGCAACCCAGGGTTGTTGATGATGCTTTTTAGTAACCAAATTATGGAAAGTAAAAAAAAATACATCTAATAACACTCAGTACATATATTTACACTTAAACTGTTAAAAAAGACTGTAAAATGTATATAAAAGATATTAATAGTGATCGATTTTGATTGGACAGTCCGATCATCAGGGTTACCTCCGGTGAGCGGTTACTGTCAGGTAGACAAGGGTGAAGTGATTAGCCGGTTTAAAACTCATCCTGTGAGCGGCGGATTCTTGTGTCACCCTCCTTATCTACCTTCGCTTGCACACGTCACCAATGGCACTATTGTGTATCGGTATAGTAAGATAGTATTATTAATAAAGTAGCCAATAAGATATACTGTAAGCAGGGACGCCATTCAACATTCGTGTCATTCGCTTATTAGGTCTGATGATGATTGGAGTGTCCATTCGAAATATATCACCATCGTCTTTTTAATACAGGATAAGTTTACATGTTTCAAGTGTTATTAGAAGTATTTTTATTTACTCTCCGTAAAATTAATAACAAGTTTAGGCTGATCAAGAAGTTATTCAACCAACTGAGCAACGCTACTACATCTCCCAGAACGGGTAAAATGTAGTACAAACTTATATATAGTATATTTGTTGTACTGTCTTGTGAAATATTACGATCCATATCAAAAGAAAATTATTAAATATAGTTTGGTATTAACTATCGTACTAAAATACCTTTAGGAAATCTTTTCTCACCACAGAAAATCAAAATGGGATTTACATGATTTACAGTGATATTGTTCTTTTATGAGCCTTTAGGTATCAATTTAGGGACAGAAGCAACAATTACTTGATCGAATTGAAAAAGGGTACTGTAAAATAATCAGGAATGGCTTGATTAGCTAAGGAAATTATCTAATCACCTTTTGTAGCCTGTTTTGGCCAGTGCAATTTGTAAACCTTACAACTTGTCGTTTAGTTGACGAAACCATCACTTCTTATCATCAACAAAGTCAGTTATGAAAAAGTAGTGCACAAACTGTGAGATAATGAAATCATCACTTATTTATGATATGGTATGCATAACAAAAGCAAAAAAAACTTGGTTAGTGTTTTTTAAACTTAAAAGAGATAGGTTGTATTTGAAGAAAGAAAAAAAACTATAAGTTAGTAAGCCTGATTTTCGACGATAGTAAGAGAGCAATACGTAAACGCTATGCACACATGGTTTAAAGCTTGCAGAAAAAATATATTAACCAACAGTCAAATTATTGTAAAGCAGATCATTGTATGGCAAATCATTTAAGGCTTATGGCATTTCGTCAAGCGAAGTTGTGCAACTTTTGGGCCACAAACATATTAAATTTCAGGAACTGACAACAACGAATCTTACCTCCTCCCCTCAAAGCTGCAGAAAAATTTAGGTTCCCTTTTAGTTAAATTTTATACTTTAACTCCCTTTTTCAGAAGATATATAAAAAGTTGAGGGATTTCAATAAGCATTATAAACACACGTTTAATCTTAATTTATATTTTTATAACATATAATATATTACCAAAATAAATATGAAAGGTATCTATAAAATGTGCTTTCATTATTAACTCTTAAAATATAAATGCGTCCCATTTAAATTTAATATGTTGTACCATGGGTATCCAGGCAAGCACAGCTTGAAAATAATGAAAAAAATAAATACTACATTGTTGCTGAGTTTGACTTATTCCAAGGTATTTGATGTTCATTCTCTTTATAATCTATCTTATCTTTATAATAATATCTCTTATCTTTATAATCTTTATCCTCTAAAACATGTGATTACTCCCTCTTAGTTTTAAAGGGATCCCAGCAATATACCAATAATTACATGTCATGTTTCATGTTCCATCAGGGACAGAATTTATTCTCATAAACTACGGTACCAGCAAAATGCCGTAGAAATAATCAAAACCTAACGTGGGATGATTAGGTAATGGGATATCTACTTTAAAGCAATGTAGAATGTGTAATAAATGAAGATAGTGTTTTCGTGTCACTTTTAACTTCATCTTATAAACTAAAGGATCATCAACACGTCATCATAATTATCAAATTACCATCTGATTGGAATATTGAGTTTTATAAGTAATAAAGAATCTAATTACTGTATGGTAGAAGCTATTTATTATCGTTTTTGTTTTTACTTATCGAATTTATTATTTGTCCTCATGAAATAAAGGAATTACAAATATGCCAATGTAATGATCCAATCGACATCTACATTACTGTGATTTTTTATTTTTTCTGTTAGTGGAATGTGTTAATGGGGTTTTTTTCCGGAATTTAGTTTCCTATTTAATTGGGAATATTTTTCCTAAACCAGAATACAGAACCGGAGTCAAATGAGTTTTTAAACTGGATAAAATTAAAGAAAAGTACTCTTGCATTTAATAAAATAACCTTGCAGAGATTTACACATGTTTTCTCAACAATAATGCTTTTTTCGACGCAATAACTCAATCAACTTCCCTTCTTTCAATAACTCTAAGCACTATGATACCATCCCAGACCTTAAAGGAGCAGCGTTTCTCTTGCACGGAGAGCGGGTATCTCTGCCGAAGCGGCTATACCCTCGGACATTTCTGAAGGAGGGGAGCCACCCGAGCCTAGCTAGGGCGCCGATGTGACGCTTGGACACGGCGCCCTTGTAGTAGTGGTTCTGAGGCAACCAGCCGTTCCTAGCGAGGGCGCCTGAAAGATCTCACAACTCATTGTGTGAACCACCTCCACACACATGCGAAGACAACCATCCAGCTACTACTACAAGAGATCTCTCAGAAGACACAGGGGTGGCTCGAAAGTCGGGATCGTGCTTGAAGCATAGATTGTTCGGAAACATCGTGAAAAGACAACGACAACTACGAAGAACATAGACGTCTAACATGCCAAACATTAGAAACAGCCAACATCGATTGGAAACGTAGAACAAACGAGCATAGTGCGATACCTTCCGGTTAACCAAGAGTGAATTGTGATTTTAGTGATCTATGACTAAAACATATATGTATAAAGTTTCAACTTTTGTCCGTTTGAAATTATTTAAACCAATTATAAAGCATTATACTTAGCAACTTACCAAAATATCTCTTCTTTCTTGTGTTTTGCTCCTCAGAATTAGCTCTTAAATTCCCATCATCATATTCAGAGACCTCTGTGTTTTGTAGGACTGGCATCGGGTATTCGTCTGAAACAGGTGCGAAGTCTGCAAATGCCTCTCTCTTTTGCCTCTGATTTTGTTGCAATTCGTTGTTCATTTTATTTTCGTCAGATCGAGCCTTTAGAGGACTACTTGCTGTGGGTGCTTGGTCACCAAACTGATCTTCTAGTGTAATAGACTTCTTTTTCCTCATTGCAAAACTCTTGTGAGCCAGCAGGGATCCAACATGTCTCTTTTCCTCACCAATGTTTTCCGACGCGTCTTCCTTTGCTTGTTCCGCATTGTAGTTTTGGGTATCTTCGCTGTTCGTTTCAATATTTTCTGAAGACACAGGCAATGGACCTTGTTTGAGAAGGGATGACACATAGCGTTTAGCTAAATCGTCACTGTCAATTTCGTCGTCGTACCAATCTCGTTTCCCATATCTAGACCCATATCTGGACTCAGGAGTATTCCAGGTTCTTACCATGGAAGCCATATTCCTCTTGGAATCATCATAATTCTGTTTAGAATACGGCAATCTGTTACTAGCAACAAAAGCGCCTAGATATCGTTTTCCTTCCACGAGTGGTGAGACTCTGTTCCGTAGAAGAGACGGTAGGTTTCTCTTAGACTCGTCAAAAGAGTCATCCCATTCTTCATACAAAGCTCGCTTAGGGTTCGAGCCAAAATCCTGGATCCAACCGTTTCTCGCAAAAGACGCAATATTCCTTTTCCCCATTGCAGGCAAATTATATGACCTTGCAAGAGACGCAACGTTTCTCTTATCATCAACATCGTACTCGTCAAGAAGCAAGCTATCCAGATCAGAATCAAAGTTCCTCTTTTGGTAGGAATACCCGTTTCTCATTATTGAAGAAATGCCACCTCGCTTTCCAAACGCTGGAAGTTGTCCGTTTCGCGCTAAGGATGAAATGCCTCTTTTGTCGTAGTCATCAGACATATGATTGTTTGGGGATCTCAGATAACCAGCCTTTGCCATTGACGCAATACTTCTTTTGTCACCGGAGATCGGTAATGATCCAGATCGCACCAGGGAGGCTAATGATCGCTTCTCAATATCCTCGTCATCTTCTTCTTCCTGTTGCTTTAACAACTCCTCGCGGAGAGCTTGCAGCCTAATCTTTCGCAATTCTTCCGCAGTTAAAAGTTCATCTATTAGAGTATCAACATCCTCTCTCTTTTCTTCTCTTTGCCTAAAGCGTAGATCTCCGGTCTTAGCTAACGCCCCGACATACCTCTTGCTCATGAACAATACAGAAGGGTCTTCGTTTGAGTTTCTCCATTGATCGATGGAGTTCTTCGAGTCGGATTTCTTGTCACCCACATAACGCTTTCCCTCGTAAGGCAAATGTCCGTCACGAGCTAAAACACTGACTTGACGCTTTTCAACATCCTTCGAGTCGTCATCGGCAATCACCTGGAAAACAGAAAGATAAAGAATTATTAGAAATATTAGTAAATTTGCTAGATTTTAGTGTAAATGAAAAATATCATGGTGATTTTAAATTCCAACATCATCAAAAACGTTAACCCCGTAAACGACGGTCGTGATTGTCTGGATAACCGAGTGATATAGTGCTCACCTTCAAATATGAAGTTAAGTTGGGTTCAATCCCCAGTAGGATTGCTTATTTAATAAAAATGTAATTTAGTATTTTACCTAAAACATATTGTCGTAACGTAAGGTTACGATGTCTGGGTTGGAACCACTCGTTAACAATAATCGCAAAACGTGTGAATGTACAACCACTAACAAAAATAGTTTACAGTCATTACCCAATAGTTACTTCCTTTTTCGGTTGTGGAAATTGTTATGAAGGTTTGGTTAATTTACTGTAGGTGTTAAACGTATGGATACTCTTTAGTTATATTACACAATTTTATTGGACAAAGAGAAGAAATTGCGATCCAAATACTTAGATAAACTGGAACTTTTCACTGTAATAACAAAATATATAATAATAATTAAATGCATCACTATTTAAAGATAAACAATTTTTAGAGAATCTCGATGACAACTTAGTTAATATGGAATGTAAGAAATCCCTGCAGCAGTACTTAGTGACTATCACTGTTTATCTAACTGGAGTTGTTCTGCATATCGAAGTACCAAACATCTCCTGCAGATAAATAAACAGGACTACATCCGAGGATATCTAAGTCCCCCTGTGAATGTAAACAAACACATGATTTGAAGTAGGTTTTAGCAGTTGTATAACTAATGAATTCAAATCGTTTAAATTATTTTTAAGTTTTAATTTATTGATGATTTATGACTTCATATTTTACTGATTATGGGTATTGTTAGGTTTAGGATATAAATGCTAGGTATTGAGACCTTTAAATGTGGCACACGTCGACAAAATGTGGATTAATTCCTGGATATAAGGTTCCAAGATGTGTCAGTAAATTTGATTAACATTACTTACCTACGGGGGCCCAAAACGGATATATCCACTCAAAACTTAAACTCGAAAATGTTGACGAAAAATACTTTCTCACTATACTATCGGTATAGGGGAGAAAGTAAAAAGTACGTAGTCTCGTATGGATCTTACTGTGCCACATACGTAATAGCTACCGTACTTTCCCCATAGAGAAATTCAATAGTAGGTACCACATAGGCCAGGAAAATCTATTGTGTTCGAGTATCCTTCCTCAACAAAAAGCCATGAAATATTTTGGCCTATAAAGTGTTCAATAATTGGCAATAACAGATATATTTTGCAATATAAAAAGTGGATGCTATTTGAATCTTGCACGCAATAGTTTTTGTATGAACGACCTGTCAATAGCAAGCACACATTCGGTTTTGAATTAACTGTTGTGCTCTGGATTGGTCTCCAGTTTAAAGTTTAATTGCCTTTTATAGAACACGAATTTTAAAAATCTAAATATTTATAGGTTTTTTGGATATCAAAAATTGTCTGTTTCACTATATACAAACTACCGTATAATACCAACATTCGTTTTATAGCGATTTAATTAGTTTTTAAATCGTATATCATATAAGGCTTATATTAGTTGTTTTCAAATGATTTTTAGCAATAATGTATGTTATTTATACATACATCATCAGTTATACATGATCTTTTGAATTGGTGTTATTTGTTTATAAAAAACTGTTAAAATAATGGTTGTTCTTGATTTTTGTTTTATTTCGACTCGTTTGACGTGTTTCTAAAATTGTCGTTCTGACGTAAGCAATCAACCCAGGGTTTTGAAAGTTTTGTAACGCACCTCTGGAACTGAAACTTTAAAAGGCTGCAAAAATATTTCGATTATAGTCATTAATATTATTTATACTACCCTTATTACTGCCTTTTGAAGAATAATACATCGAGTAAATAATTACTTTCGTAATTATTTATAGTTTACTTACTAAAGATGAAACATTTTGGATGAATCGTAAACAAATAGTATAAGGTAGTCAATAAATACATTGTGACTAAATATTTTCTAATTTTCCCCATAAAGTGTGAACCCTCTAGAATGTTTGATTTTGCAAGGAAAACAGTCATTAAACTACGAACCCGCGAAACAGGAAGATAATTTGCGCTTGCTTGACGTGTCTGATTTAAGCCCGACTGTAAATTTCAGTCGACAGTTTTGTAATTTCCTCATTTAAAACTTAGGTTGCATTTAATTTCCGCCCCTTATATTTGTTTCACTTTAATTTAATTGTTGTAATTTTTTTAATTGTTTTGCTAATCGTTAAAAAATTTAAGCGGCACAGAGATACAGTTAGTTGTACCATTAATATGAAAATACAATTAATTTTTGGAAATACACTTAAGGGATTTCCCATGTAATGTACAAATTTGAAGCCCAAAATCGTGGTGCAATCTGTTGAGATGGCCTACAAACTAATAACAATATTCTGTGCCAAGTGATAAATTAATCATCTGTTAGCTATGATACTGCATTGATTTTAATTAATATCATAGTCAAAGTTAAAATTTTACTCAATATACTAGTACCTCTGGTGAGATGGTCCTGAACTTCATTTATTTTCTTTGCTTCAAATTTTACCTAACAATGGGATGTCTATTCAGATATATAGTCAATGTTCGTACTAACTTTTATCTACTGTAATTAAAATTTATTTAATATGAAGTACCAACCATATTTACGGAGAGACTTATCATCCTGTAATAATATACACAACAAAACTATTTATTCATTATTTATAGAGTAAATAAATGCCTTCAAAACGTTTCTCAGTTGGTCTCCAATCCTACTCGAGAAAAACTGTTTCGACCTATTCTTTTTTTAGTTGAAGCTGTATTTCTAAATAAACACCATTAATTGGTTCATCGTATTCCGATCTGGAACACCATCATGTCAACCAAGAAGTGTTCAAAACAATCTTTAAGATTAATCACTAATCATAGAAAAAGTTTTAACTGCTAGAGCAAAGAGCTTATGACTCCATAGCATAATGTTTCTTGAATTAACATTTTATTCGAGGCTATAAACACAGCTGTTAATTCATTGTTGCAGTATTTAATATCTGGCAGCGAAAGAATATTGGGGTATATTCATCGCCTCACCATGTACAATAGCTGAGTAGTTTACATTAACATTGCGTAACGTTAGCTCAGCTGTATGATATTTGTATGAACTGCTGTCAAGTTATTCGTATTGGGCGAATATTTTACCTAACCGACACATATTGGTGATGGGTTAACATATACTTAAATACCCATTTTACTAGATTTTGGACAGCACGAATAGCAAAATTAAAAGTTAGTTTGTGTGTACTTGAACTAAATGTTATGTAAATCAAACCCAGTTAAAACCTATAAGATAGGTCAGTTCTGGCTCCCTAAAAATTTCTCTTGAATTCATTTTTAATGAATTTGTACTGTATCACATAAATTTAGTTGTTATTTCATACAAACAACAAGAAATTCCTCTATCATAAAAAATACTAAACTAACCCAAAGTATATGATACATTTTAGAAAACTTGTATTGTCAAAACTCAGTTTCCACTGATAGAATTGCGGAGATTTTGTCTATCAATTGAGATACACTTCTGTGCAAATGGATAAGCTTCAAACACAATACGTTGTAAAGACTACGCGTTCTTATCTGAACAATGAAGCTCTTTCACTAAACCTGCCTTTCACTGTGGGAATGTAGCTGATATACTTTACCATCATAACAAACAACTTGATTAACTCACTCTGATGAAAGTCATTAAATGCACCTCTTGTAAATATAAGCTTCAATCTGTTTTGGTATGAGCTGTATGAAACTAGATCCTCTCGCAACTATAAGCTTAGTTTACAAGAGGCTTAGTTAGTACAATTAAGTTAAGTGAAAATGGCTACTTCAAACTACGAAGTTCATTTGTTACAACTAAAAATAAATTATTATCTGACTTGGTATGTTGAACGACACTGATCAAAATACCTCGGTTGATAACAGAATTTGTTTTTGTGAAAGCTGTAGGTGATTAGCAGGATTTGAACCAATAATTTCGCGACAGAAGTTCCACGGTGCAACCACAATACCAACCGCATCATCTATAGTTATGATGAGTCTACCCACGGTTATATAGGATTACGTATCACCAAAACATACTTGCTACGAAAAATAGTAAAGTAAACTGCCAAAAGTAGGATACTACTGGTAAAGTGAGTGTTCGAGAAAATTAATCTATATCTATATCTATCCATATACTTATTTAATACGCAAGCAGGTTTTTTGTGACAATTACTCCTCCGAAACTACTGAACCAATTAACATGGTTTTGGTGTCATTGGAAAGAGCGTAACGTGAATTGTGCAGGAAACTTTCTTTTTTGAAAAATAGTTAGAGAGTGAGGCCCTGGGGCCCTTTTAAGTTTCGTATTTCTCAATAAGATTAACATGGGAAACAAACATTGTTATGAAACTCCAGCTGTTGTCAGAAATTAAATTAACCGCAAACAGTCAATAAGTTTGCAAAATTAACAGTAGTTTGCTACAAACTTTTACTGACTGGGTTGAAATTAAATATTTACTATTTAAATTTGGTTGGCGTATATATTAGGATGGGAAAAGGCGAGAGAGCCTGGATAATTTGTTATACTAAAAAGAAAACTGAATTAACACTGTGCTTCATTTCTTAGTAATCATCGAAAGAGCCGATTTGCAAACTACGGAAACATAGAAAAGTTATAGAACAACAGCAAAGAGAAGAAATATAATTAAATTTGTATTTTACATGATCAGCTTCTGAAAAATTATAAGATATTTACAAGAAATTTTGATTATATCGATCTGTTATGTACATCTTAAGTATTTCCATAATCTTTGAGTCGAATCTTTTAAAGTCATCAGAAATTATGACTGTTATTCGTTTTAAAATAATGCCTGTAATACTTAGCAATTGCTCGAATTCGAGCAACAGGGACACTAGTGTTTAT